GATTCGTCCGCCGTACCGACATACCATCGGTTCGTGAGTCCGCTTCGGATGAAAAATTCTATTGTGTTTAATGTACCAAATTCCTCATCATTAAATCGCCATAGCGCTATCACTCACAGCCACGGTTCGTTTCGTCTCGCCTCTTTTGGGCTTGAAGTAACGTTCTTGTGTTATGAAAGCGCGTCATAGTCATACGTCTTCACATTCCAGGAATTTACTGGCCATTACAACACTTACTAAGATTCATCGAATGAATTTAAACGTGTATGAATTATGTCAGTCATGCTCGGAATGTGCTTAATCGTGGCTTATTTAGACGTCGTTTGTAGTGTTATTGTCGTAATGCATTTAAACGCAACACTAAAAAAAAGCGATTACACAAAGCTTGATTTTTTGTGTTAATGGCTACGGTAATTTTTTGTATAAATACCATTAGATATAATGTTTTAACTGTTAATAACTGTTAAAACTTCTATAACTACAATTACTATATACCTTCCTCTATGTATAACTATAACATATTATAGATACTCTAAGAGTTTTCTTTAGATTACATAATTTGCTCATGAGTCGCTCCGCTAGTAGTTCATCCTAGAAGGATCCCGTCGTCTCCACTCCAACCATTCTACGTTAATTAAAGTGTTAACTTAAGGATACAAGAAATACGTGAGGAAACAGAATAAATATCTGAGAGAAATTAAACATGTTTTGAGGACGTAAATTCCGCAATAAAGCAACGCGGCGGATTTTGATAAGTTCGACATTGTGCATTTAGGACTTGAATTCGAATTTGTCATTATATACCGGCGTTACTCTCCGATAGCCAAACAGACAAGTACTTTACTGTGTTCCTTATGTTTCAACAATATTTATCGAAGCAAAAAAAAAAACACAACTATTATCTGCATATTCCGTAGACTACACATAATATACTGCAGCTATATTATAGTTGAAGCGCGAATGGGTCAGCTCGACGTGGGTAGGACCACGCTCTTACAGAATACCAGCGTAAAATAGCAGCTTAATGCTGCTGTGTTTCGGATGGTGAGTGTAGAGAACCTGTGACCCTTTTTACTGGAATCGAGGCATTATATCTTATTTCTCAGGGGTAACAACGCATCTGCATTTGCATTCATAATAGAGGATAAATGTAGATGTACATGGCCACAGCATCCGCTTACCATCAGGTGGATTGTGTGCTCTTTTGTCATCTTATTCTATAGACTAAAAGTCTTCTTTACTGGGTGGTTTAAGTCCTAAACAAAAAAAAGAACTTTATAAGTCCACTATGACATTCATGTAGTTTAGCAATCGATCACTAATATTTTTATTATTTTTAGTGATCGATGAGTTTAGCGGACTTTTTCGTCTTAATGACCATCTTAAAAAAAGGGCTCTTCATGTGCATGTGTTTGTGGACGTTATCTTTAACTTCAAAATTATCATTATTAGAAATTGTAAGTGACGCCGCTATTGCAAACATTTATATCTCCCATTATAACAAATCAAAGTGTCATATTCTGTGGGCACCCCGGCAATTTATTCGTGATACATTGGACCGATTGGCTAGTTCCCAGCTTAGCGCAATCCTAGGGTTACCATATAAATTTAATTATTTAAAGGGTAGGTAATAAGATATGCTTTAAAAAAAATTGTAAACTTTTACTTGTACTAGTAAAAGTTTACTTTAAGCATACTATACATGATACAAAATATATATTTTGCATTGGCATTAATACTTATTAAATGTGGATTAGAGCGGGCGAAGCGGAAACGTGGAAAATACTTTGCCGGCCTAAGTTAGGCCCGTTACAAACGGGAGACAATAGAATGTACATTTCATATTATGTAATCTTAAAATTTCATACAGAAGTTAGTCACCCTAACGGATGATTTTTCGTGTCAGTTTGAGACCTCGAGTATAACTTGATAATATTTTAGGAAGCTATTAATTGCACTAGAGCCTGAGATAATAGTCGTATTATAGTGTACCGATGATCGATGATGTGATCGGTAATATATATATATATAGGCTAAAATATAGTGTTACACATGAGATTCGATCCCACGCAGTCAATATATGTATATGATATACATACATACATAATGTAAATATACACACGAAGCACTATCGCCTACCCAGCGTAGTTAGTAAGTATGGGCAAGACTTTCTGGTAATGACAGCTAGTGCATACTCAGAAATTTCATTTTTCAAGCAGTTTATAGGTTATAAAGGTTTTTAAATAGGAAACTATAACATAACGGTGTCAAAAATATTGCGCTTACTTATTATTTCATATTTTTAAATAACAGAACTCAAAAAGTCGTTATCAATGGTAAAGGTTCCTCCGGGTCGGTAGTATGACTGGTGGTTTCCTCAGGGCTCGATACTTGGTCCATTCCTATTCTTGAATATTAATGATTTACCTTATCTTGTAGGGGACAATTACGATAATATAGTATTGTTTGCTGATGATACCTCTTTAATTTTCAAACTCAAACGACTTCGCTCTGCTCTTAAATGGAGATGAGTTGAGTCTTGTGGATACCATTATTTTTCTTGGTATTATAGCGAACCTTCAATGGAGCCCCGTATATCTAAATTAGCAGGCAGACTTAGTTCTGCAGCATATGCTGTAAGAAAGGTTAGAAGTCTCACCAATGTTGAAATAGTTATTTTAGTTTATTTTAGTTACTTTCATAGTGTAATGTCTTATGGAGTTTTCATCAGTTTTTTATGAGTTATCCATAATAATGCGTATTTAATTGACTTCGACTACATTGATGATATTCTCATTTTATTTATATTGAAATCGGTTGCACAAAATTTTTAATTTTACCACTTGTTGTGTTTTAGGTCAGTGTTTAGAGACAATTTCGAGCTTAAACTTAAACACCACATTGTTTAAATTTTATCTAGACCATACTACGTTGCTCCAAAATGTTGCTTGAGATTACTCAAGATTGTCTCTGAATAATAATGATTTTAGTGTTCCGAACTGTTCATTTTTAAATAATATTTATTCATGGACATTTGACAACATTTTTTTACAAATTATTGTCTTTATTTACATATTCTTGCCGCGCCGAAAGGTACGTCTGTGCCATGTCTAGTCGTTTACGAGACGAGTAATATCCGTCACTCCGGTATTCGCATGCCACCGTCTTATGATCGCGCCACGGCGACATTAAATACCCGCGCCAAATATTTTTATGCGACATGAATTCCATTGAAACATTTGTACGGTTTCACGTAAACAGACTATAGTATTTGGAGCTGGGCTTGTTGTCTTTAGTGAACGACAAATTAATTAAAAAGCAATTAATGCACTCGATTTGATTTAGAATATTTCGATGTTTCATTTGTCAAAATTAGAAGTATATTCTTGAAAACATTGATTTGTAATTTAAATAATTACTGAAATTCTTTAAATTCAATGTAAATACGGTTTATTATAGAATATTAAGAAATAAGCACGAGCCTTATACCTGCATATTATGTTGGAGCACATCCATCAGAAAATTGTAAACGTGTTTGTTAAATCTATTTCTTTAAAAAAAATACATGAGGATGTGTATAGAAATTACCAATCGAGTAAGAAATAAAAACAGTAATAATTTAAAATTATAAATGTTGTACAGCCGACTTCAATATAAGTTATTAAGAATAACTCAGAAATATTGGTCTGACCATGATCAAATTCATATGGGACCACAAGAGAAGTATCAGCTTTCATATAAAAAAAGAATCATCGAAATCGGTTCACCCAGTAAAAAGTTATGAGGTAACACACATAAAAAAACATACAGTCGAATTGAGTACCGTCTCCTTTTTGGAAGTCGGCAGAAAAGAAACCTGGAAAATTTGAAGCATTAGGTATGAGGAATGCATATTGTATGGCGATTAAATTATTATTATATATAATAAATTTCGTGATAGCATTAAACATACCGACCATTTAAATTCGTATTACATAGTGAATTCGAGAAAAATCATTTATAACTTTACGTCCGTGTTATTACTAAACAAAATGCTATTATTCGGTTAAGGAATATTGAAATGATATCATAGCAATGACATCAAACTTGATTCTTTATTAAACTTACGCCGTTTTATTACAAAAATAGTTTGTAATTCGCTTTCTGAGATGTGACGAAGACTACTTTTAAAACTGCACACTATCAATAATAAGACCATTTCCGTCTTATTACTAGAAGTGGGTAATTGATAGCCTAGGGTTTAAACTAAAATTTAAAAGAAGCATTTTTCATTAAAGAAATATGTACTTCAGCCGCGGCGCCATTCTTCACGAAATTTGACGTTAAATTTGTAGTCAAAGTCCTTACTTTACATTTTCTACCGACTTCAAAAAGGAGACGGTACTCAATTCGATTGTATGTTTTTTTATGTGTGTTACCGTGAACCGATTTCGATGATTCCTTTTTTATTTGAAAGCTGGTGCTTCTCATGTGGTCCCATATAAATTTGATCAAGGTCTAACCAACAGTTTTTAAGTTATTCTTAATAATTTATATTGAAGTCGGTTGTACAAAACCTACTTGAATCTGAGACTAATTATAAACTGTTTCGTTTTAAATTTAAACGTTGGCCTTCATTTTAAATATATTTTATGACAAGTTATCATTCAATTTTTTTTGTCAATTTGTTGTTTTTAAATAATTTTTTTTATTAAAACAATGAATAATTTATGCGAATAATAGCAATTTTTTTTGGTATCGAATCATTTGCTCACCGGACTTCATGCCAGAATGGACACTTCAAAACGTCTATCTAATTCTACTCACATTCCTATGCAAATTAACTCTTTGTTATTATAATAATTATATAGTATATACCTACATATTATGTGATATGTCTATACTATAGTCGCTCTTACTTCGTACCATTTGGGAATAATAGCAAATAATGTTTTTTTTTTGATTGTGTTAGTGTATTGATCGCTTCGCACAAATAATAAAACTATTTTTGCAGGTATAAAATGGAGAAGATAGAATCTGCCCTTGACGTGCTGTCACGCGCTGCAACTATGGTGCAACCATGCCCTGCATACCCTGCTAGTGATTCAGACGGCTTCGGTAAATATTTGTTGTAATAACTTTGTAATGTTCTTTTTAATTGTTGTGATTTGGAACTCCATGAAACGAAAAAGCAACACTAAAAAGAGAGAAACATAATATACATCTATAGGATTTAACCTACGAGAGAATGAGATAGACTACAATATAGTATGTGTACAGTGTTAACTATTATCTCTGTCTCCTTACCGCGTGTGAACTGCACGTGTTTTTTTTAGTAATTTTTGACAACATATGAGCGATACTCTTGCATAAATGTCATTGATGTATTTTTGTCACTTAGTATAGAATCGATATTTTATAGACTAGGAATTACTTTTGTATCTTCGGAGAGCTTTACATATAAATTGCACATGAGCAACATCCAGACTAGGAACAATTGTTTGTAGACCAGACAAAAACTTATGCAGGAATCAAACCTGCGACCTATAACACCGCAGCCAAATGTCTCTGCTCTACGAAGACGACGATTTATTCTAATACGATTTAAATCCATAATTTTTTTTATTAAATTATCTTGTAAACTACGATTGTACTATTCGGTAATTAAATCGTTGATCACAATCACCTTTAAGAATTACCAAAATACATTCTTTAAATCGATAAAAATGCGGAATGTGCTACCACATACCCAAATAAGATTTATGACAGTTTGATCTACCTACGGAGACTTGTTTTCTTTTTTAAGTGGAAGAATTATGTTGCTGGCCAGTTTAATATTTTTGTATTTACTTTGACAATTATTTATTAAAATATGAGTAGTGTTTTGTTTTAGTGTGTGAAGTTTATAATAACAATTAAAATGTCTTATATTTATCAAAAAATTAATGACACTACGTTATTACCAAATATATGCCTCTACCTATGAAATATTAATAAAGTTGTGTTTTTGCAATTACTTTTGATTTCGTTTATTAATTTAAAATAATTCGCAGCTACAGAAAACAATAATATTCCTTCTATAAATCTCCAATTAATCAACATTATGCTAACGAATCGTCTAGGAATTCAGTTGCAGCGATACAACGTTGGCTACCTATGCAGCTGAGATGGCGCGCGGCCTTGTAGGCGGGTCGCATTCCAGATTCCAGCTGACATTGTTTAATGCCCATCCGCTTGAATAGTGGCCTCTACTGTAGTACATTTTAATTTATAACTTTTTTAATACTCTATATCTGATACATGGAAATATTCGTAGTCTGTGTATTTATAAATGATTTGAATTAATTCAAAATTGCAATCTTTAAAAAACTTGTTAAATTCTAAATATTATGGCTTACACTTGTAAAACTAATATTATTTTTATTATTAATTTTTAGTTTTTATTATTCTGTGAAATTGCCCCCACTTTCATACCAGAATTTTGGCTCTTACAATGGGGGGAAGTTCCCCTTTTAAATGGGAATTTAAACTCCGGAGGGGAGAAAAATGTGAATGAGCTAGAGAGGCGAAATCATGGTTCAATTGTAATAAGAATTTCTGTTGTGTGAGACTTAGTCTTTATGTAGCGGCCAAAGGTATTAATTCATTACGCTTCATTTTATTGTCGAAAAATCTTTTTGCCTGCAACATAGAATATGAGTTTAGACATCGCCCTGTATAAAAAATTGAGATCAGTGACAAAGGCCCATTTAAGTTGTACAATATCAGTAAATGAAAAAAAAAGCATTTATTATTGTGACCGTCAATACGCATGCCAAATGTGGAGATTTTGGTAAATGTACGTTAGTGATGTGGGATTAATTAGCTGAAGACTTTTTACGCGTTTCTGGGTCCATTTAAACCACATTCTAAAATATTTCTAGTGTCAAAACCGTTACCTGCATGTATTTAACGTATTTTAACAAAGACGTCGAGAAACTGCGTTGAATTGGCTTAAGCAGAGCGGACACAAGCTTCCCTCAAGTTAAATAACAATGGATACCATTGTTGAATTGGACTGGTTTCGTTACAAAGGTTTGGCTTGCGCGACCGTGATTCCTTGCCCAGCAGTTACCGAACAATCGCATCGATTGTTATATTTTTTTTGTTTTGTCTAACCAGTTTCGCTAAGTCTAGCCGTGAATACTGCCTAGGTTACTATGATACCTCGAATTAGAATAGTTATTATACATTAATAAGGCCGTTTTCCCTGCATTGCAACTTGACAATAGAGTTAAATCTCGATGAGAAAGCAGAGCTTTCTGAGCGTGGACGCGAAAGCATAGACGAGAAACGCGTCCCGCGTGAATTTCGCCGACCCACAATGTGCAGTTTAAATTATTCTATATCAGAAAAGAGAATATATTTCTGTATCTTTTTTCTTTTATAGAGTAAGTGACAAACGAGCACACAGTCCACCTAATGAAAAGTGGATAGTGTGACCCACCATAGTCATCTACATCCATCCTCGATTAAGAAACAAAACGCAGATGCATTTTCAGCCCTAAGATGGAATGCCTCGCTTCCAGTAAAAAGTCTCCGGTTCTCTACACTCATACGAAACACAGTAGAACTTTTCTGCTGTTTCACGCTGGTATTCTGTGAGAGCGTCCCGGGTCGAGTCGACAAATTGCATTGCTTAATCAAATCTATACAAATAAATTAAATTGAAGTGTCTGTTTGTAATGTCGAAATAACAGTATTTTACTATATGTATATGGAAGTATATACGGTTCTTATAACAAAAACACGATTTTTAAATTTTTGTCTTTCTGTCTGTCTGTCTGTTTGTTCCGGCTAATCTCTGAAACGGCTAGACCGATTTTGACCGGACTCTCACTACCAGATAGCTGATGTTATAAGAAGTAACTTAGGCTACTCTTATTTTAGAAAAAGAATAAGGGTTCCGCGTAAAACATTAAAACCCATGAAATGCAATCGTAATAAATTACGCACGACGAAGTCGCGGGGAACAGCTAGTTAAAATAATAAACTGAACGCTAACAGTTCATTGTAGCATAACGTCGAATTTAAATCTAAACACATTCAAATAAATTTATCAATATGTACAATGATGACCGAAATGTCTTTATTATTTATGGGTATAATCAAAATACTATCGAATGGTTGTTTACAAACAATATTCCGATCGCGAATAATTATGCAATGCGATGACAGCGGCGCGCGCGGCGCATCGCCACTTACTTTCGATACTCCGCGTGCGTGCGCGTGCGATGCCCGGTGACAAACAGCTAACAGAGAAAGCGTTCAGGAATTCGGCCCGACCAGCCTCGCCACTTCGAACGCGCTACTAGGCGTGTGTATCTCTTTACGGAAACGACTCACTGATACGAATCACTGAAGTGACACAAAAGATTGGTTCAGTAACAACGTTTCAAATGTATCATTTGTATCTGGAACAGTGAAACATTACTTTGCTCTTTGCTCATTTCGCGCGACGCATCGCTTGCGAGGCGACTGAGCCACGAGCGAGAGAGAGAGAGACTGAGACAATGATTAACTTAACTATTGACTCACGAGTGGCGAGTGAGCGGGCGAAATAATTATAATCCACACAAGTCAGATAGAGATAACAAATAAGAAGTGTATCCTCAACTCGTACGGATTTTCGCTGACGTTATTCATGCACGTAAAAATTACCACTAAGGCGCTTATGTGTCAAATACTATACGGTCGTTTTTTGTATGTAACGTTTGCATTAATAAGTTGACATTTTACGTTGATGCGGCACTTGTCAAATTGTTTATATTCATTAGCGCCTGTTTACGAAAACATACTGAGTTATGTTTAGGATTTCTTTGCGTAGTGATTATTGTGACTTTATTTTCTTCCTTTTCATCGTAAAGTTTAGAGTTATGATACTTTACGAGTATATTCTGTGTACATAGACATTGCTGTTTTGTGTAAATGGACATTTTTTGTAAATAATGAATTGACATAGTGACATTTTTGTTAAAGTATGAAGGAGAATCGATTTTATATACAATCTTATTACGGTACACAATAAATAATCTAAGCACTTATATTATTCAGCATGGTTGCCACATAATATTTCACGGATCAGTCAGTAATAAACGCCCGCGACGTAACTTAATGTACCTATTCGGAACATTCTTTCTTTCATATCTTTTGAGGCGATGATACAAATGAGCCAAATGAAACATATCAGTGTTTCGGAACATTTCAGTGATCAAGATGCAAATGTTCCAATCCCAAAAATGATACACTTTGCCCACCTCCACGCGCTACTGACAAGAATGCCCGCTCGCCAGTCTCAAATATAACCGCCAATTGCAAATATCAGTCTCCAATCCAACGCCTTTTTATTACGAACATTATCATCGTCATCATTACATCCTTTTACAACTCCACTACTAATCATAGAGCTCCCCAAAGGAATGTCACAAAACACAGCCTGTGTGCCACCTACATCCATCCTGCATGTCTTACCGGGAATGCACTCCATATAGTTGGCCGCCCTACTAGCCGCTTACCTTTGACAACCTTTCTTTTCCAACGGTTGTCGGTTCTTCGAGCTATGTGGTCGGTCCGTTGCCATTTCAGCTTACTACTAGTCACTAGTCCGTATGAATATGTCGGTTATTCTGGTTTTGCTGTGGATATCCTATCCTCACCACGAAGTTGAAACTTCGAGCATAGCCCTCTCCATAGTTCGCTGAGCAACCTTAAGCTTTCTAATACAACCAGCAGTGAATGACCACGTCTCAGATCCATATGTCATCATTGGCAACATGCACTGGTTGGTGCGATCTTGTTATGAGAAAAACATTATCCGTCCAAACCTTAACAAAATTCTTTATAGCTAATTTTACACAGATAGCAACGTATAATGGAAAATAATTCGAAACATTTTATTGGCTATCAACATACATCAATCATCACATGCTTTGTACACGTAGTTGTCTATAAATGTAAAAACCGATTGTACGAGGTGTTGCGTTTGGAAATGGACTTTTATTGTGAATTGTGCACGGATGAAATCGGCGTGCCAGACTATATCCGGAACGCTGAGGCGGCGTGTTACGGTTTCGAAAAGA